TCTTCAAATTGCTCAAAAGGTATCCATTCTAAAATATAGTTTGGCAGAGATGATTTCATTTGACATTGTTGAATAAAGTTATCAATTATGTTATTTCCAGATGTCCAAGTGGTGAAAAGACTCTGTAATTGTAATCTAATACAACCTTCACAGAATTTATTAGAGTATCTTGTCAATTTACATTTGTTACATTCTTGTGTTTTGCCTAATTTATCTCTTGCACTTTTTAATTCAAACTCATAAATATATCTTTCTTTGCAATATTCTTTTTCATTTTCAGAAAGCTTCTTATTTTTCTTGACTAATGAAAAAAAATAATCTTTTATACTTTCTCTACCACCATTAGCATTAGCATTAGCATTATTACGCATTTCATTAATAATTTTACGCACAAAATTCTCTCTTTCTGGTGATAACGATGATAATAGTTTATTGTATGACATTATATAAAGATAATAAAGATATAAAATATAAAATTCGACTTGGTGTTTTAATGAATATGGAGATTTTTGAGTGATGTGTAACAAACAATTTTTTTCGCCTTTAAAAGGATTAATTGATAAGGAAGAAATTGCATTATTCAAACTTCATCCATCACCAGTCGATTTATCATGATTCAACAATAAAAAAAAAATCTTTGAAGATTTAAAATTTATAAAAATAGAAAACAAAATTAAAACTTACAAATACATTCGATAAGTCGGTCATGTGGGGATGAGTACATATGACAGACTTATCGAGTAAACCGACTTATCGAATTAAAAATAAGAAAAATTTTGGCCGACTTATCGCGAGAACGACTTATCGAATTATCGAGTTTACATATGTATGTACCGAACCTGCTTTATGTGCTATGTAAAATTACCAATATTGATCAATTGTAACTTCAAACTCAGATACCAAAGACAGCTCAAGCACATTATTAATTATTGCGTACGTATTAATATTACATGTAGTTAACTTCAAAAGTCAAAAATTCTAAAAAATTAATTTAATATGTATGTAAAGACAATTTGATTCTTTACATTTTATGAAATGTAATAATAAAAATTTGTAAAAAAGAAAAGGCAAAAGTAAATAGTAAAAGTTCTAATACAAATTATAACATTTGTAAACTTCCATGATAATTATTTTTCTTGCATCATTGAAATATACATGCAATGATATAACAATTCTTTATTCATCCCCAGGACACATTTTTACATGATTTGGAACTTTTTATAATCCTATTTTATCATTATCATTATCATTATTGCTTGCTTGTATCAAGTGTTTTTACATTTTATCAAGCATTTTTACTTATGTCAAGTGTTTTTACTTACGTCAAGTGGTTTTCAAAAAATCTAATTTAATATTGATTTTTTCAACATCTCCTCAACATCAAAAGTAACCATTGTCGTGAAACTGCAAATTCCTTTTTATAGATAAAATTACCAAAAAGACATTAAATCAACAACCAGTCCTGAAATAGAGATTGAATGTTGCACCGAACTGATTCGTTAATATAACATGATACAGTTACACAAATCATCACACGTAATAATATTCACAATATAAAAAACATTTGAAAAATGACACCAACAGAAGAGTATTCGTTGAAATATGTTTATAGTAGTAAGGTAATTAATTAACCGATTAACTAGTCAATTTATTTAATTCAAACGACTGTCATTATTTTTATCTTAAAAAGGAACTTTTTTCACCATGGTAAAAAGGATCAAATTAAAGCCCCATTTTATGGTGTTAGTTTCAATAAATTTGACAATTCTGGTGATTCAAATTTTGCTATAGTTGGTGGCTCTACAGTATGAATATTTGTTATTTATTGTTATATTATTTAATATATTCATTTTATTAAATTTATTAAACATAATAATGATGGTGATGATGATGATACCTTATTTAGATTATAGTCGTATCTATCGATGGTAGGAAATCTTCAGAACCGAATTTATATCAATATGAGCAGGTTAATGTAATTTTTTATAAAGTCAATTTTCTCATTTTAATAAAGATAAATCTTTCATCTGATTAAAAAAAAAATTTATTTTCTCAGGATATTGTTTCTTTAAAGGATCCTGAAAATTTTTATTGTTGTGCATGGATATATGATCAAGATACTGATTCACAATGGATTGCCGCTGGTGGATCTACAGGAATTATTAAAATCTTGGATGTTTGTACAGGACGTTTAATAAAGGTAATGATAATAATGATTATTATTATTATTATATTGTCATAAAAACTTTTTTAAATTTCTTTAAGCTAATTCCATCATCTGTCAAATGCATGAACAAGAAACTTATTGGACATGGAGATGTAAGTAGTTTGTCACAATTAATATTTTTTTTACATACATACACACTAAATATTGAACTTTGGATTTTTGTTTGATTACTAAGGAAATTAATGAAATACAAAATCATCCAAGAGATACAAATTTGTTATTTTCAGGCAGTAAAGATTTTTCAATAAGATTATGGGATTTGAAAACATGTCAACCAATCGTGATATTTGGTGGCGAGTGTGGACATCGTGAACCAGTTTTAAGCATTGTAATTATATTCTCTTTTATATACATATTTAAATTTGTATTTAATTAATTTTCATGTGATATATATAATTGTTAGGATATACACATATCTGGTAATTTCTTAGCATCTGCTGGGATGGATCATGCAATAAAAATATGGACTTTGTGCACACCAATTATTCAAAATGCAATCGATGTATCTAAAAACAGTAAACCACAAAGATATAGCGGACAGTGTTGCACCACTGGTGATTATATTATAACACCACTTTTTGTGCATTTTCCAATATTCTCATCAATTGATATACACAACAATTATGTTGATTGTGTAAGGTGGTATGGCGATTATATATTGTCTAGATGTGCTGCGACAACTACTATAATAATGTGGAAACCAAAAATTAAATTGTCACCAGTCGAGGACAAGTCTACAATAACTAGTGTTGTTGTTGGGGGTCCAAGTAAGGTAAGTGATTGTTTAAAATTTATGAATTTGAGAAAATATGAGTAATACTTATACTACATTATTACATATATATGTATCTATATATTAATTAAAATTACAGCCCTCAACAAGTTATGATATTCATTGCGAATTAGATTTTGAAAATTGTGATATTTGGTTTCTACGTTTTACACTGTCACCTGATCAAGAGCAACTTGTCATCGGAAATCAAACAGGGGATATATTTTTATGGGACATGAATCAAATATCAAATGTTATTGCTAATTATACAAAGAAAAAGATATTTAAAATTTGTGGGAAAAAAACTGCCAAAGGCAAGAAAAAGAAAGGTAAAGATGTAGCAAACTCTGATTTATTAGAATGCATCAAGTATAATAGTAAGTATAGTGATACTACAATCAGACAAATTGCATTTTCAAAAAACAAACAATGGATGATTGCTGTATGTGAAGACGCGTCTATCTGTTGCTGGAAATTGGAACAAATAGTGTCATCTGATAATTTGGAAATTGACAACAATGACAATAATGATGATGATAACGACAATAACGATGGCGACAATGACTATAATGATGACAATGAAATGATAACATAGATAAATTAGGAAAATTATATTATGTATTATATACATGATATTTGTAATAATTTCACAATAAAAATTAAATTATTATTATTGATTCATTATCCAATTATAATTAATAATGATAATTTCATTTAAACTTTCTTTTCATATATAGTTTATAATATATAATAATAATCAAAAAATGTTTTTAGTCATGCTTGAATGCAAAATTATAAAGAATCCTACTTTTATTTTTATTTCGTGGAAATAAAATTAATAATTAATTTGATTTTTTTTTTGTTTTAATTGTATATAGTAATAGGATTTTGAAGGATAAAAATTAGCAGAGTTTATATTACAAGCTGGAGCTATTTCATTTACCATTAGCAAAAAAAAAAATTTTATACCACTTCTCTTTCTCGGTTTTCTTTTAACTTTCTTGAAATGTCTATTAATCCTTGGATAATTGATGTTGTCAAATAGATTTTAGGTTTTCTCCTAGAATTGTTATTGCATGATTTAAAGATGACATTTATGTTATTTGATGGTGATATATTATTTGCATCATTTGTAAGTAAATGTTATTTTTATTTATTATTTGAGAAATTTAATTTAATTTATTATGGATTATTATTCCACCATATCCATTTTACAATCATCTTATATATACAATGATTACCACAATTAAAGACAAAGAAGATAAGCGAAAAAAGGAAAAAGAGTAAATTGCCCAAAGATCAAAAAATAATGGTAAAGATGTTGATGGCAAATCTTTAGAAAAGGAGAAATTTAAAACCTGAAAAAATTTCATGATAAATGTCTATTATCACAACTAGTTGTGAATTTAATCCTGTTCACTTTCATTTCATTAATAATATATTAAATGTAATTGACACAATAATCGACATCATTATCCCTAAACCTACAAAACAAAAACAAATAAATGAAAATATTTTTTTCAGCAAATTTAATAAAAATTAATGAATCCCTAATGGAGATGTTTATTATGGACCATTGGTCGTCAATCATCATATTGTTTAAAAATGATTAAAAGTTCGTGTTTCAAAAATATAATGTCGATCAACACGTAAAAAATAATAGCAACGTTAAATAATGGAAAATACAGATGTAACAAATTTTACTCGAATGGATTTAATTCAATTTGCTAGCGATGAGTTAATTACTATTGAACCATTCTTTAATTCAAGAAAGTTCACAATTTCCGGAGTAAATAACTATCAATTTTATTAATCTATTTAATCAATACACCAATATTAGTTAATAATATTTATTATATATAATTGATTTTAGAAAGAGTTTGGACCTTTTCATCCACCTAAACAAGCTCAAGTGCCATTATGGGCAGCCTTAATGTTGAAAGAAAAGAAAGTTTGTAAGATCATACAACCTGAGTGGTTAATTGCTGGTTAGTTTAATGATTAACAGATTCTCATGTATTTCAATATGTACTCACATTGTATATTATAAATATATATTTTTTATAGAGAATCTAGACATAAGGTCAAAAGAGGAAAGGCCAGAAAGTGCTTTTGCTGATTTACCATACTGGTATAATGAAATTTCAAGTATTTTATTAAAAAAGTAAGTATTCTTTTATAATAATATACATACATACATGATCAATTAATTAATTTATTATATATAAAAGAGCTGAAGATGATTTAGAAAATCCAAATCAAATAAGATATTTACTACAAGGACTTAAAGAAAAACGTGAAATGAAAATAAGAGAGGGTTTATTGGGGTTGGATCCTTCAATTCGTCAGGTAAAATTTTATATTTGCTTTTTTTTTTTTCTTTAAAAGACGATAGGAGAGAGATGATACTAATGTACTGTATATATTATCTATGTATCGGGAACAATTATATAGATGAAAAGTATAGGAGCAAATGAAATTCATTCAATGAGACCTATGTTTACTAAAACTTTTGATAAATTGAGAATAATTAATCACAACGATAATAATGATATTAATAATGAAAGAAATGGAAGATAAAAAACGTTGAAATTTTATTTTGTTCATGGAAAAAGATTAATTAGCAGATTAATAATTAAATAAATAATTTATCATAAATATAAATGTGCATGAATAAATTATATTAAGTGCCGAGAGTATAAATTTTTAGATTATTAGCAATTCTTTTATCCAGTTTTGGTTCAGAAAGTTCATCTTTAAAAAACATTTCTTCGTCTTTTCCAAAATCCAAATCTTCACTTTTAAAATCTCTTGTTTTCCCCAATACTATTCCGACAGCCTCTTCGCCGGCAATTTCAAAATTTTTATACGAATTAAAAAAATGATAAACTCTTAAAGGAAAATTTTTCCAACCTATTCTATTATAAAAATGAATATATCCAACTGGATCAACTTTTGGAATTGAAAATTCTTCTTCATTAGATTGTATTTCTTGAGTCGATTTATTGATTTGCTTTTCTAAAGAAGTTGGATTATTATTATTATTATTATCATTATTATCATCTTTTTTTTGTTGTGGTTGATCTTTTGATGTAACCAAATATTCTTGATTCTCCTGTTTGGTGGAATCATCAGCGGGTTGTTCCAGTGAAGAAAAACATCCTTGATTTAATCCTTCAAGAAATTCCACCCAACCAACACGACCAACAACAATAATCCCACCATCCCCAACTCTATTTAATGATGATGGATCCTTGTTGTCGGTATTTGAAGAAAGATCACGACGTTTTTGTATTATTTCTTCACATACTTTAGATTTTAATTCTCCACGTCGTGCGCCTTCAACTACTTCATAATCTAATGCAGCAGCAACAAGAATTGGCTGACTTGTCAACAAAAAAAAAAAAATAACAAGACATTATTATAAATAATTAGATAAATAAAAAAATGTGTTAATAATAATTAAAAAGTCTTTTTATTTTATATTTTCACCTTTACATATTCCCTGAAATATTCTCTTGTTTTATACAATCCATCACCTACTGGTGGTGCCAAATATATAAATACTTTTCTAGGCAGTTCATGCACACCCAATGGTTCTAAAGCTAAGTGAGAAACTCTATCTTGAACGTTTTTTTTTGCTTCTTTTGATAAAACGTTATCACGATAAATTAAACCTGAAATTCCAATGCATGTTCCAAAAAATGTCATTACTTTTTTGGATGGTAATTTAAAAGATTTTAATTTAAACGACATTTTTTTTGTTTTTTTTTGAAAATCAAATTTTATGAATTAGATAATCTAAAAAAGTTTTATCCAGCCAATCAATTTTATGTATATATTACATTAGATAAATAATAATGTTTTTTCTCTCCAAAAAAATGTTTAGAAAATATTTTAATTCAAAAATTTATAATTTTTTATTTATAAAAAATCATAATAAATATTTAATTCACAATAACATTAATAATAATAATGATGATGGACTTTTTTTTTATTCAATGATTAATTTGAAAAAAATTAAATTTCTTAAAAAAAATTCGAAAAAATTCAAATCAATCATAAATAACAATTATACTACTAATAATAATAATCCTAATAATAATAAAATTGTAATTTCTGCTGCACCTACATCAGCTACTACATTAACAACACCCACAACAACACCCACAACAACACCAACGACAACAACAATTGAAACATCAAAATCATCTTCAATATCATCATCAAAAATTATAGATAATAATTTCTTTAGTTCAAATGCGGTTTCAAAGTTAACAGCGTTTAAACTTATCAAAGTCTACAAAGACCTTACAAAAGCCAGACTAGCAGCTCTTGTGATATTAACTACAATGTGTGGATACGCAATGGCACCAATGGCAACTGATTTGAGTTGTCTTTTTGCCACAACGATCGGTACAGGATTATGCGTGTCATCAGCCAACACCGTTAATCAGTTAATGGAAGCACCATATGATGCTTTGATGTCCAGAACCAAGGGTAGAGTTCTAGTTAGAAGATTGATTTCACCATTTCATGCTATAACATTCGGTACAATAACAGGTTTAACCGGCGTAGGAATTTTATATTTTATGGTGAATCCATTGACAGCAGCATTAGGCGCAACTAATATTTTTATATATACAAGTGTTTACACACCATGCAAAAGGTTATCAATAACCAATACCTGGGTAGGTAGCATAGTAGGTGCTATACCACCTATGATGGGTTGGACTGCATGTACCGACAGTTTAGATTTTGGTGCACTTTTACTGGGGTCAATACTTTTTGCTTGGCAATTTCCACATTTCAATTCACTGGCATGGAATATGAGATTTGATTATGCCAAAGCTGATTATAAAATGATGGTGATAAACAATCCAAAATTGAATAGTAGAGTCTCGCTGAGATATAGCATCTTGTTGTTTCCATTGAGCTATATGTTCTCATATATCGGACTAACTACTTGGTGGTTTGCTTTAGATTCAACTTTAATAAATTCCTTATTACTTTCAGCATCCTATAAATTTTGGAGAAACTCAAATGATAAAACTGCAAGAGACTTGTTTTTTAAAAGTTTGGTACATCTGCCTGTATTGTTAGCTTTGATGATGGCTCATAAAAAAGATTGGAGAAGTGCCAATGAAGAAGAATTGAAAAAAGAGATTGAGAAAGCTTTAATGGAATTAGAAGAAACACAAAAAAATAAAGAATGAAAATTTTTTCTTTTTGTTTGTAAAAATAAATATTATTGTAATTTGTTTGATTATTAAAGAGTTTTTTTTATATTATTAATAGATTTATATGTGTATACTATTATTGTTATCATATATATATATATATTTATATTTATATATATATATATTTATTATTATTATTTTATACATGAAGTCTTTTAAATTGACTTTCAAGGTTTTGTAAATCCCAAATAACTATTCTTCCATCTAATCCACTAGTTGATACACTTTCAACATTATCATTGGGCCCACTATGAACACGAATTGATCTATAATAAAAATAAAAATCATCATTAGATTTATTTCAAATAAATATATAAAGAAATAAAGAAACAAATAAATTTTAAATTACGTGATG